TGATCGAAAGCAGGTTTCTCCCTCTAGAAAAATTTCACCAGAGCTTCGCTACAACAAGGATGCGTAATGGTAAATGGCCCTGGCCATGGGGTATTTAAAGCCTCCAAGAACCGGGTGTAGAAAAATGTTACATTATTAGAAAAATGTTACATTATTTTTCCTGATTAGATTGATGTACATAAGTGAGTCGGATAGACTTAGTTGTAGATAAGCTCATAGTTATCTAGATCCTAGTTTTTAGGATCTGTACCAGCTTGTAGTTATCTGTACAAACTGTATTTATACTCTGGCCGAATGGCTCATTCAATCAAGGAAGTTTTATTCCTAAAACTTACATGGTATCAGAGCAGACTGTTTAAACACCACAATGGTGGAAACCGAGCAATCTGACTCTTCTCCCCACTCACAAACCCATAACCCTAACTCCCCAAATAGCTCAATGACAAACTACCAGACCTCAGTTCATTCATCTATACTCATTACTGGCCATAGATTGAATGGCACAAATTATCTCAAATGGTCACAGTCTGTCAACCTGGCTATTGATGGAAGGGGCAAGCTAGGGTACATAACTGGTGAAATAAAGGAGAAAAAAACTGGTGATGATGGCTACAGTGTTTGGAGGTCAGAAAATTCCTTGGTGACAACATGGCTTCTAAGTTCAATGGATGCATCAATTACCAAACCTCACATGTTCATGAAAACTGCAAAGGAGGTATGGAATTTCATTAAGGAAACTTACTCAGATCTTGAGAACTCTTCTCAGATTTTTGAATTAAAAACCTAGTTGTGGCAGTCCAAACAAGGCAATAGAGATATCAGCTCTTACTATAATGAGATGGTATCCCTATGGCAAGAGTTGGATCAATGCCATGATGATGAGAAGTGGGAGAGTGCCAAGGATCTAGCAAGACACCAAAAAAGGGAGGAAAATGATAGGGTCTACATGTTCCTAGCAGGAATTAATACAGATCTAGATAAAGTTAAGGGGAGGATACTTGGAAAAAAAACTCTACCCTCTATCAGGGAGGTATTTTCTGAAATCAGGATGGAGGATAGCAGGAAGAAGGTTATGTACAGCATTCCAGTACATAATGAGGAATCTGGGGACTCTTCAGCAATGGTGGCTAGGAGTGATGACAAGAAAAAACCCTGGTGTGATCATTGCAAGAAATTATGGCACACTAGGGAGACTTGTTGGAAAATTCATGGCAAACCACCAGGGGCAGGAAAGAAAAAAACTGAGAAGGCCCTACAAACAAACAACTGTGACTGAGACTCAACGTGAACCACAAGTCAAGTTCAATCAGCTTTCATTCACTCAGGAGCAGATAGGGCAACTTCTTAACTTCCTTAATTCCCAGAAAACCCAAAATTCCCAGAAAGACTCCAAACCAGAATCTTCCTCTTGTTCTTATGCCCAAAATGGTACCTATTCGTCATTTTTTTTGTTCTGGTAAATCTAAAAATACCTGGATTATTGACTCGGGGGCTACTGATCACATGACTTCTATTTCAAATCTTTTTTCTTCATATAAACCTAGTGCAGGGGATAAAAAGGTTAAGGTTGCAGATGGTTCTCTATCAGCCATTGTAGGGATGGGAAATATTAGTATTTCCTCATCACTGAATCTATCCAAAGTCCTTCATGTCCCTAATCTATCCTGCAATCTTACTTCAGTTAGTCAAATAACTAAAGATCTACAATGTTGTGTCATTTTTTATCCTTCTTATTGCATTTTTCAGGACCTGGCATCGGGGAAGATGATTGGCAGTGCTAAGGAGGAGGATGGACTCTATATCTTTGATGGAGAAACTCAATCTAATAAAAGAGGTCCAAGAAATGCTTGTTTGTAAACTGTTTCTTTTTCAAATAATAAAGATTTGTATTTACTTCATTATAGACTAGGACATCCTAGTTTCTATTATTTGAAAAAGATATTTCCTCAATTATTTCTGAATAAAGATGCTTATTTGTTTAATTGGGATATGTGTGCACTTGCAAAACATCACAGAAACACTTATTTACCCCACAGTTATAAATCTACTAGTCCTTTTACCTTGGTACATAGTGACATTTGGGGTCCATCTAGAATACCAACTTTAAAGGGAAAGAGATGGTTTGTAACTATTATTGATGATCATACTCGTGTCACATGGGTATTTTTAATCAAAGAAAAATCTGAAGTTGAGAAAATATTTAGAACATTTTATGCTATGGTCCAAACTCAATTCAATACCAAAATTAAAATGGTAACAAGTGATAATGGCCGTGAATATTTTTCTCAAACTTTAAACAACTTTTTTTTACTGAAAAATACATTATTCATCAAAGCTCTTGTGTCAATACACCAGCTCAAAATGGAATTGCAGAAAGGAAAAAATAGACATTTGCTTGAAGTCACTCGTGCAATCATGTTTTCAACAAACATACCAAAATATTTGTGGGGAGAAGCAGTGTTACATGCTACTTATTTAATTAATCGCATGCCATCCAAAACTTTAGGATTTAAAAGTCCTATTAGTTCACTACAGCACGTCTTTCCTACAAATAGATTGGTAAACACCCTTCCTTTAAAAATTTTTGGTTGCATAGTGTTTATCAAAAATCCAGATAGATCTGCAAGTAAGTTTGATTCTAGAGGAAAAAAATGTGTTTTTCTAGGTGTTTCTGCCACTCAAAAAGGGTATAAATGTTTTGATTCTACAACCAAAACAATGGTTGTTACTATGGATACTTTTTTTGTGGAAGAACAACCTTTTTTTTTATTCTCATCTTCAGGGGGAGAAATTAAGTGAAGATGTTCCAATAATGCCACATATTCATGAAAATCTTAATTTTCTTGATATTAATTTGGATGATAATTTCTTTAGAAATATCAGTACACCTGAAAATGATCAAGGAATAAAAAATAATGAAGTAAATCCAACTGAACCAATTGAAAAGGATCAACAGACAAGTCAGTTCTTTGAAAAAACTTATGAGAGAAGGGTTAGAAATCAAAGAATAGAGGAAGTCCAAGAACCTACAACTGTCCATGATTCTGCCTCAATGTCAGGAAGTGAAAAAGGTAATACTTCTAGCAACTTTGACCTTCCTATTGCTCTCAGAAAAGAGAGAACATGTGTTAAATACCCCATCTCAAACTATGTTTCTTATTCTAAATTGACTTCAGAATTTGCAGCCTTTACCTCCAATATCTCTTCTATTTCTATTCCTCCAACCATACATGATGCTCTATCTAAACCTGAGTGGAAAAAAGCTATTTTGGAGGAGATGGAGACTCTTGAAAAGAATCAGACATGGAAGCTTGTAGAGTTACCTAAAAATAAACCTACAGTTGGTTGCAGGTGGATTTTCAACCCCAAGTTCAAGGCAGATGGAACTTTAAAGAGGTATAAAACAAGACTAGTTGCCAAGGGGTACACACAGTGTAACACCCCGGCCCCGTAGGCCCCGAGGTAGTTACCTCTGACCTCTAGTACTGTCCTCACAAACCGCCACTAGCCTTTTCCGCGCACTTTGTCCTCACTCGTGCACGCCCTGAGAAACTTCCCAGGGGGTCACCCATCCCAAGATTACTCCCGTGCAAGCACGCTTAACTTTGAAGTTCTTGGCTAATGAGCTCCCTTAAAAGGAGATGCACCTTGTTTGTATGAGTAGTACTATTAATGCGTTTAAATTAAATCTCAAGTATTACACACAGACCTATGGAATTGATTACAAAGAAACTTTTGCACCAGTTGCAAAGTTGAACACTGTAAGAATTCTTTTATCTCTTGCTGCCAATTTAGACTGGCCATTACAACAACTGGATGTAAAGAATGCTTTTTTAAATGGGAAACTTGAAGAAGAAGTGTACATGGAACCTCCTCCCGGGTTTGAAAATAAGTTTGGGTTAAAAGTTTGCAGATTAGAGAAGGCTTTATATGGACTTAAACAGTCTCCAAGAGCCTGGTTTGACAGATTCACAAAGCTCATAAAGAAGCAAGGATTTAATCAAGCTCAAGCTGACCATACTTTATTCATGAAGTTTTCAGGTAAGGGGGAGATTGCAATCTTAATTGTCTATGTAGATGATATTATCCTCACGGGAAATTATCACACAGGGACTAAAAGATTGAAAGACAAACTTGCTCATGAATTTGAGATGAAAGACCTAGGAAATTTAAAAATTTTCCTAGGAATGGAGATAGCTAGATCAAAGAAGGGTATTGTTGTCTCACAAAGGAAATATGTTCTAGATCTTCTACAGGAAACTGGAATGAGTGCCTGCAAACCAGCTGTGACACTCCGAATTTTTCTAAATACAATAAATAATATTTATTAGTTATATAAATATTTACGAAAGGGTTAAATTAAGTGAATCAGATAAAATTTTAACCACATAAAAAAAAATGTTTCAATAATAAAAGTGACATTTTTATAGTAATTATGTTGACCGGATAAGACCTTGACTTAAATAACAAAAGTGATTGTCTTTGTGACAAGTGATAAATATACATATGACATAAATGATAAAAGTGACACTTTAACAATTGTAATAAGTTAATAATATGTGTACAAAATATAGTAAATATTATACTAAAAAAAAAAAACAACGAAGTAAAAAGTAGTACACAAAAGAAAAATACGAAGTAACATATACACATACACATAATAATAATAATAATATACCACTACTATTGTTAAGACTTAGACATGATACATCAACTCAATAATATACCTAATATAAATGAGCCGGCCAAACAAATCAATCAGCCCCAATAATAATAATACACAGTACATAGCATTAATAATATTGGCATAGTACAATAACTAGGTACCAAATGGCTACCATATGGATCCACATGCTCATGTCGGATGATCGGATGATGCCAAATATTCACAGCTAACATTCAACTTGAACTTTCTATAGGACTACGTATGCCAATGTATACGCATAATATATAATTATATATACCCAAGCTGCGGCCAATATATATTACCTATATAATATGTACCAAAAACAATAGCTAAAAGACACCTTAAGACCTTCGGCCAGCTAGAGAAGAAGAGGTAAAGAGAGACTGAGACAGAGCAGAAGGAAGAAGAAGGGCCAGACGGATACGCCACCACCCAACACAAAAGCCCGCCGGAGAAGATTACAACGACGCCGGAGAATAAGCTTTGACCGTGCCGCCATTACAACGCGAGGAGCTGCTGCACTAGGGATCTAACTGTCAGACCAATACCACTCCCTCAGACCCGGGGTATTTGCGTCGTCTTCCAAGGAGGGGAGACCACCGGAGAGAAATTTCAGCATCGCCAGAGCGTAATAACCCCGCCGCCGAGTAGAAAGGGTGAACTCGCCGGACTGGTTGTCCATACCAGACGAAGCAAGACTACCGGATACCGGGCTGACGACTGACCACTCCTTGCCGCCGGAGTTCTTAGTTGGATGCACGACTGCCACGACAGAAGTGGAAAGGAAGCCGGAGAGCTGGCCTGCGTCGCACCATTGCTGACCGCGTGAGGAAGAAGAGTACGATCGATACTTTTATGTTATTCTGTTTTGTCTAATATTCTTAATATTAGGCTGAATTAAAGTAGTAGTAATAATAAATAGATACGTAGTACTTAAAATGATAAAGTCAAAATAGGGTTAAGAGATTTGTTAATAAAATTGATAGCGTTCATTTTCTCTTAAATTGTCAATATGAGATAAGATGATTAAATTCTTCTAGTATAAAATGAACTAATTTATACTCGTAGAATAGATTAAATTGGAATAGAAGGGACAATTGGATTAAAGATTAATGAACTATTTGATTAAACCGACTAACGAGAATTACGAGATAAAGGTATATGAAAATGGAATTGGAAAATAATTAGCAAATGACAAGAATAATTATTAATTTTAGAATTTTAATATTCTTAGAAGGTGATTTTGGTGAAGCTCGAGGTAAGAGATTCATTTAGGATTTATCACGATTCAAGGTAAGTTTCTCTGCCAATCCAAAATTGTTTCCTCGTATTATATGCTTATTATGCATTATGTGATTAAGTGTGAATTGTGAATTTTGTGTATGTGATTTTGAGAAGATATTATATATATGGTAGTTGAGAAATATAAATTAAGTACTTTTGGGGTATTAAATATTTTTAATTACCTTGGAGACTATTTAGAGAAATTAAGAAGTATTTTTGAAGTATTGTTAAGCAAAGATAAAATTTACATTTTCATAAGAAGATAGCATCTCGGGAGTAATCCGAGGTGTCGGTTTTTCCACATCCGGATAAATGTGGAGGGTGATTAGAGCTACTACTACTAAGAAGTACAGTTTGGATCTATGATCCCTTTCAAGCAAGATTTGGATCTATGATCCCTTTTAAGTAAGATTTGGATCTATGATCCCTTTTAAGTGAGATTTGGATCTATGATCCCTTTTAAGAAGAAGTTATAGTAGTAGTCCCTAATCATTCAAGAATTTTAGAATTGGGGTGATTGGGTTCCGACCACTCGGGATGACTTACTACTCGGAGGGCTTGGAATCCCTTTTAGGGGGTGTGCACACTTAAGGTAGTCGTTTCGTTTCCAACAGAGCAGTTGTGGTACCGGCATTTGTTCGGGGTGGCCGTCCGTAACCACGGTCCACCGGGCCCTACCGAAAGGTTAAGCACCGCCCTTCTAAATTACTAGGAAGTTAGAAAAGAAGTGATTTTCTTAAGAAGTTTAAAGAGAGGAGATACTAAGAGATTTTCCAAGAGAAGTTTAAGATTTTAGCAAAGAAGTGATTTTAAGAAAAATCAAGGAGAAAAGTATTTTTGAAGAGTGCGTCATTTTTATATGATATTATATAAAAATCTATTTTTAGTCAAACCTGATTATTTTACGGGGTTGGGTAGTACTTACTTAGCTCTAAAGCTAATTTTTGTTTTCTTTTCTTTGTTTTGTTTTCTGCACTTTATTTGTGCAGGTGATGATGGCTATGTTGATTGTTGATTGCATGCGTCCGAGAGCGGTTGCTAGATGCCTTAGTAAAACCTAGACATGAATGAACATTTTAGTTACGTTGAACATTTGTTTCTTCATATCACAATTAATTATGACTGTTTTGTTTTAGTTGCCTGTGCATCCGATTAAGAGATGACCGGTTGTGGCGGTAACACCCGTTTCCCTATTTAAATTATTTCCGCTGCAAGATTTTTATCAATTTCGAATGAATAAAGCAAGTTTATTATCAATAAATTATTATTTCAAGTATTATTTTTGGCCGGGAAATTGGGGGTGTTACAAATTGGTATCAGAGACAGGTTTTCGAAGGGATTAGGACACGAGGTAATAGGTCGTAGGGAGAAATTCTGTCACAAAGACGACAATAGTCTAAGCTGGTTGGTGCATAATTGAGCCTTTGCGCTCGTCCAACTAACTGGGATTTTCTCCTTGTGCTGAAACTTCGTTGTTCAAAATCTTTGACGAAAACTATGGTCTCGAAGCGGGGATTTTCAAAATGTGTTCTTAAAAAAAAACTAGGAGAATGAACATACTAGGAAATTGCCCTTTCTAGGAACGCGGTGAGAGGAGGAACCTTTGTGATACTATTGAATTATGAAATGCATGAGATTCATGCCTCTGTGAAGTATGTGGAATATGTGATACACTGTATGTGCTATCTGTTATAAGAATTTGAAGTTAGTAAAAAAAAAAAAATTGTATGATGTAGAAGCCTTATGTATGTCTTAGTACTTAGTATTGGTTTTCTCTATTAAGAATCATGCCGCCAAGAAGAAACCCCCCTACAACCCCAACCGTTGAGGAGTTGGCCCAAACTATTCAACAAATGGCACGACATATCGGAGCGGCTCAACCCCAGAACAATGGGATTGACTACGCTACAAGGGTAGCCGGGCGTAACCCCCCGAAATATCTGGGCGAGGAGGACCATCTTATCCTGGAGGACTGGGTTCGTACCTTTGACAAACTCTTTGACTCCCTCACCTGCCCGTGGGAGCAACGAGTAAATATTGCGGTGTATTACCTACACCAAGAAGCTGACCATTGGTGGGCCGCCAATGGACCAACACTTCTCGAGCAACCGGGCTTTTGCTGGGAGGACTTCAAAGTAGCACTACGTGACCGCTTCTACCCCGATCACGTGAAAGAGGCAAATTATGATGAATTCGTCAATTTCAAGCAAGGTGACCTGACTGTTCAGGAGTACCACACGAAGTTCGTCCAATTGGCTCGTTTCGCCAAAGACCTGGTGTCAACAGAGGGCAGTATGACACACAGATTTGTTAATGGGCTTAACTACGGTGCCCAAAAGTTTGTGACTGTAGCAGAGCCACGAAATCTGAACGAAGCATATAGGAAGGCTGGTAAGTACTACATGGTACACCAGAAGGAGAGGGAGGCGCATAAGAGGGATCGGAAGAATGCTGAGGTGGATCAGCAACAAAAGAAGGCCAGAACCGACCGCCCTGAACAAAGGCAAATCAATCAAGGTGGAGGAAATTTCCAAAACCAGGGCCAGGGGAGAAACCAGCCAACTCAAATGCGACATCATAGATGCAAATTATGCCCAAACAACCATCCCGGGAAGGATTGTGCGGGAAATGCGGTGAGGTGTCGCAACTGTAACCTCTTGGGGCATCGGGCATACGAGTGCAGGAAACCCACGAACCAGGGACAAAACCAGGGAAACAACCAAGCCGAGGGTGGGGTTAATCACGCCAACAACAACCGTGGTAATCCTGGAAACCGCCCAGCGGAGGCCAACCGTAATCAAGGCCAGGGAGGGCAGAACAACACCCAGGGCCGGATTTACGTCATGAACCAGGCTCAAGCAAATGCGCACGATGTGGTATCAGGTACCTTCCTTGTAAATTCCACACCTGCTTATGTACTATTTGATTCGGGTGCTTCCCACAGTTTTATAGCCTCAAAATTTGTGGAAAAGTCAAAGTTAGAACCTAGTTCTAAACTTAATCTTAATGTTAAAACGGCATCCGACAAAGTTGTAGCGTGTGGGAATGTTTTCTCCAATATTTCCATAGTCATATGCGATACTGAACTACACGGAGATCTAATCCAGTTTGACTTGGAGGATATCGACGTGGTGTTGGGTATGGACTGGCTAGGGAAATATAAAGCCAAAATCCTATGTGATGAACAAAAGGTGGTCTTGAGAGGACCCAATAAGAAACGTATATCCTACAAAACGGTCACATCTAAGCCAGGCGTGAAGCTGGCAACCATGCAACAAGTCAAACGATACGTCCGGAAGGGGTATGAGGTTTTCTTGTGCATGATCAAAGACTTGACGTCCGAGGATCCAAGCATTGACCAAATCCCTGTGGTCAATGAATTTCCGGACGTGTTTCCAGAAGAAATTCCGGGGATGCCGCCAGTGAGGGAAGTTGAGTTTTCAATAGATCTAATGCCAGGCACCGCACCCATCTCAAAAGCACCATACCGAATGGCACCGAAGGAGATGCAAGAGCTAAAAGAACAACTCGAGGAACTGTTGGGGAAGGGTTACATCAAACCGAGCGTCTCACCTTGGGGCGCTCCAGTCTTATTTGTGAAGAAGAAGGATGGGAGTCTGAGACTCTGCATCGATTACAGGGAGCTGAACAACGCGACCATCAAAAACAAGTACATGCTACCTCGCATTGATGACCTGTTCGATCAACTGAAGGGATCGGGTATATTTTCCAAGATTGATCTTCGATCCGGCTACCATCAGGTGAGGATCGCAGAGAAAGATATACCGAAGACTGAATTTCGCACAAGATATGGGCATTATGAGTTCACCGTGATGCCGTTTGGTTTAACCAACGCACCAGCAGTATTCATGGACCTAATGAACCGTGTATTTCGCCCATACCTTGATACATTTGTGGTAGTGTTTATTGATGATATTTTGGTGTACTCGAAGAACGAGAAAGATCACGAAGAGCATCTGAGGCTCGTCCTGCAGACTTTGAGAGAAAATCAGCTTTACGCCAAGCTCTCAAAGTGTGATTTCTGGAAGGACCGGGTCGCATTCTTGGGCCATATCATCACTCAAGAAGGTGTATCCGTTGACCCATCCAAGATCGAAGCAGTGATAGACTGGCCTGCACCCACAACCGTGACGGAGGTCCGGAGCTTTCTAGGTTTGGCAGGCTATTATCGCAGATTCGTGAAGGATTTCTCAAAGATAGCAAAGCCTTTGACTAATCTCACGAAGAAGACCACGAAGTTCATATGGAGTGATGAGTGCAAGAAAGCTTTCCAAGAGCTGAAGCAGAGATTAACAACTGCACCTATCTTGACCCTACCATCTGGGACTGAAGGGTTCGAGATTTACACCGATGCTTGTTTAAAGGGATTGGGTTGCGTATTGATGCAAAACGGCAAAGTGGTGGCCTATGCATCAAGGCAACTGAAGATACATGAGGTCAACTATCCGACTCATGACTTAGAACTGGCAGCGGTTATCTTTGCTCTAAAGTTGTGGAGGCACTATCTCTATGGGGTACACTGTAAAGTTTACACCGATCACAAGAGCCTGAAGTACATCTTCACCCAAAAGGAGCTTAACATGAGACAGAGACGCTGGCTAGAACTCGTCAAAGACTACGACTTGGAGATCCAGTACCATGAAGGGAAAACAAACGTAGTTGCCGACGCGTTGAGCCGAAAATCAACTCACTCCTGCAAAGCAACATGGATACTTCCTGATGAGCTATATCGGGACTTTCAGAAGCTAGACTTGGAAGTTCGGGATTTCGGAGAGGTAGATCAGGAAACGCGGTTACTCACCATGACCGTTACCCCATCTATTTTCGACGAAATTAGAGAAGGGCAGCCTGGTGACATAAAGCTGGACAGAATCCGAGCAGGCATGACAAATGGTGTAAATGGACCGTTCGAACTGCACGAAGACGGGAGCATTCGACACAAAGGAAGGTGGTGTGTCCCGATGAAATGTGAAGAACTTAAGAAGAAAATTATGGAGGAAGGGCACAACACGCCTTACTCGGTGCACCCTGGAGGCGACAAACTCTACAAAGATATCAAAAAGAACTTTTGGTGGCCAAAGATGAAGAAAGAGGTAGCTGAATTCGTTGCTCGATGCTTGAACTGCCAGAAGGTGAAAGCCGAACGTTGCAAACCCAAGGGACTCATACAACCTTTGGAGGTGCCAAAATGGAAATGGAATTCTATCTCCATGGACTTTGTTGGGGGCTTACCCCTAACCAAGTCTGGCAAAGACAAGGTTTGGGTTATAGTTGATCGGTTAACGAAGACCGCTCGCTTTATCCCGATGAAAGAGACCTGGAGCATGGAGGAGTTAGCTCGAGCCTACATCAAACACGTAGTTAAATACCATGGAGTTCCACAAGATATTGTTTCTGACCGTGATTCTAGGTTTCTATCTCAATTCTGGAAGGAATTGCAAGCTACTCTGGGGACGAAACTGAAGCTGAGTACAGCCTTTCACCCAACCACTGATGGACAAACTGAGCGAACAATCCAAACACTCGAGGACATGCTGAGAGCATGTATGTTAGACCTACAAGGGTCGTGGGACGAGCACTTAGACTTAATAGAGTTTTCGTACAACAATAGCTACCACGCCAGTATCAAGATGGCCCCGTACGAAGCTTTATACGGTCAAAAGTGTAGAAGTCCACTATGCTGGAGCGACTTAACAGACAAGGTGGTGCTAGGGCCAGAATACCTACATGACACCATAGAGAAGGTGAAGCTGATTCAAGCCAGGATGAAAGCTGCACAAGATCGTCAGAAGTCTTACGCAGACTTGGGGAGGAAGCCAGCCGAATTCGAGGTGGGAGAAAAAGTCCTACTCAAAGTCTCCCCGACGAAGGGAGTAATGAGATTCGGAAAGAAGGGAAAGCTAAGCCCGAGGTTCATCGGCTCGTATGATATTCTCGAGCGAGTGGGACGATTGGCATACCGTTTAGCTCTACCCACAAATTTGGCTAAGGTAAGACACACCTTAAAACCTCTCAATAGTAAATATAATAGTAATACCTCTCAAATACTAACATGTGATGCACTTAGGTACACAACGTTTTCCATATTTCACAATTGAAGAAGTATGTTCACGACGAATCACATATACTTAACCCTGAGGTACAAATTGTAACCTTACGATTTTCAAAATCAAAATTCAACATGTCTAATCTCGAGTCAATTAGGTGGTCGAGTTGGACGAAACATTGACTTATGAAGAAAGGCCCATCGAGATCCTTGACACCAAAACTCGCGAGACTAGGAAGAAGAGTATTAAGATGGTTAAAGTATTATGGTCCAACCATCTGGCTGAAAACGCCACTTGGGAGACCGAAGATGACATGCGAAAACGATATCCGGAGTTATTTGACTAAGGTAATATTTTGGTTACGGGGACGTAACCTTGTTTTTAGAGTTAATACGAATGTAGTACCTCTTAAATTATATTAGATTATATTTTATGCTTCGGGACGAAGCATCTTTTAAGGAGGGTAGATTGTGACACTTATATATTTAATAAAAAGAATTTATTATGAACTAACATGTGACACCTACTAATTGTATGGTGGGTATTTTCTTAGCTTATGCTTCGGGACGAAGCATCTTTTAAGGAGGGTAGATTGTGACACTCCGAATTTTTCTAAATACAATAAATAATATTTATTAGTTATATAAATATTTACGAAAGGGTTAAATTAAGTGAATCAGATAAAATTTTAACCAGATAAAAAAAAATGTTTCAATAATAAAAGTGACATTTTTATAGTAATTATGTTGACCGGATAAGACCTTGACTTAAATAACAAAAGTGATTGTCTTTGTGACAAGTGATAAATATACATATGACATAAATGATAAAAGTGACACTTTAACAATTGTAATAAGTTAATAATATGTGTACAAAATATAGTAAATATTATACTAAAAAAAAACAACGAAGTAAAAAGTAGTACACAAATGAAAAATACGAAGTAACATGTACACATACACATAATAATAATAATATACCACTACTATTGTTAAGACTTAGACATGATACATCAACTCAGTAATATACCTAATATAAATGAGCCGGCCAAACAAATCAATCAGCCCCAATAATAATAATACACAGTACATAGCATTAATAATATTGGCATAGTGCAATAACTAGGTACCAAATGGCTACCATATGGATCCACATGCTCATGTCGGATGATCGGATGATGCCAAATATTCACAGCTAACATTCAACTTGAACTTTCTATAGGACTACGTATGCCAATGTATACGCATAATATATAATTATATATACCCAAGCTGCGGCCAATATATATTACCTATATAATATGTACCAAAAACAATAGCTAAAAGACACCTTAAGACCTTCGGCCAGCTAGAGAAGAAGAGGTAAAGAGAGACTGAGACAGAGCAGAAGGAAGAAGAAGGGCCAGACGGATACGCCACCACCCAACACAAAAGCCCGCCGGAGAAGATTACAACGACGCCGGAGAATAAGCTTTGACCGTGCCGCCATTACAACGCGAGGAGCTGCTGCACTAGGGATCTAACTGTCAGACCAATACCACTCCCTCAGACCCGGGGTATTTGCGTCGTCTTCCAAGGAGGGGAGACCACCGGAGAGAAATTTCAGCATCGCCAGAGCGTAATAACCCCGCCGCCGAGTAGAAAGGGTGAACTCGCCGGACTGGTTGTCCATACCAGACGAAGCAAGACTACCGGATACCGGGCTGACGACTGACCACTCCTTGCCGCCGGAGTTCTTAGTTGGATGCACGACTGCCACGACAGAAGTGGAAAGGAAGCCGGAGAGCTGGCCTGCGTCGCACCATTGCTGACCGCGTGAGGAAGAAGAGTACGATCGATACTTTTATGTTATTCTGTTTTGTCTAATATTCTTAATATTAGGCTGAATTAAAGTAGTAGTAATAATAAATAGATACGTAGTACTTAAAATGATAAAGTCAAAATAGGGTTAAGAGATTTGTTAATAAAATTGATAGCGTTCATTTTCTCTTAAATTGTCAATATGAGATAAGATGATTAAATTCTTCTAGTATAAAATGAACTAATTTATACTCGTAGAATAGATTAAATTGGAATAGAAGGGACAATTGGATTAAAGATTAATGAACTATTTGATTAAACCGACTAACGAGAATTACGAGATAAAGGTATATGAAAATGGAATTGGAAAATAATTAGCAAATGACAAGAATAATTATTAATTTTAGAATTTTAATATTCTTAGAAGGTGATTTTGGTGAAGCTCGAGGTAAGAGATTCATTTAGGATTTATCACGATTCAAGGTAAGTTTCTCTGCCAATCCAAAATTGTTTCCTCGTATTATATGCTTATTATGCATTATGTGATTAAGTGTGAATTGTGAATTTTGTGTATGTGATTTTGAGAAGATATTATATATATGGTAGTTGAGAAATATAAATTAAGTACTTTTGGGGTATTAAATATTTTTAATTACCTTGGAGACTATTTAGAGAAATTAAGAAGTATTTTTGAAGTATTGTTAAGCAAAGATAAAATTTACATTTTCATAAGAAGATAGCATCTCGGGAGTAATCCGAGGTGTCGGTTTTTCCACATCCGGATAAATGTGGAGGGTGATTAGAGCTACTACTACTAAGAAGTACAGTTTGGATCTATGATCCCTTTCAAGCAAGATTTGGATCTATGATCCCTTTTAAGTAAGATTTGGATCTATGATCCCTTTTAAGTGAGATTTGGATCTATGATCCCTTTTAAGAAGAAGTTATAGTAGTAGTCCCTAATCATTCAAGAATTTTAGAATTGGGGTGATTGGGTTCCGACCACTCGGGATGACTTACTACTCGGAGGGCTTGGAATCCCTTTTAGGGGGTGTGCACACTTAAGGTAGTCGTTTCGTTTCCAACAGAGCAGTTGTGGTACCGGCATTTGTTCGGGGTGGCCGTCCGTAACCACGGTCCACCGGGCCCTACCGAAAGGTTAAGCACCGCCCTTCTAAATTACTAGGAAGTTAGAAAAGAAGTGATTTTCTTAAGAAGTTTAAAGAGAGGAGATACTAAGAGATTTTCCAAGAGAAGTTTAAGATTTTAGCAAAGAAGTGATTTTAAGAAAAATCAAGGAGAAAAGTATTTTTGAAGAGTGCGTCATTTTTATATGATATTATATAAAAATCTATTTTTAGTCAAACCTGATTATTTTACGGGGTTGGGTAGTACTTACTTAGCTCTAAAGCTAATTTTTGTTTTCTTTTCTTTGTTTTGTTTTCTGCACTTTATTTGTGCAGGTGATGATGGCTATGTTGATTGTTGATTGCATGCGTCCGAGAGCGGTTGCTAGATGCCTTAGTAAAACCTAGACATGAATGAACATTTTAGTTACGTTGAACATTTGTTTCTTCATATCACAATTAATTATGACTGTTTTGTTTTAGTTGCCTGTGCATCCGATTAAGAGATGACCGGTTGTGGCGGTAACACCCGTTTCCCTATTTAAATTATTTCCGCTGCAAGATTTTTATCAATTTCGAATGAATAAAGCAAGTTTATTATCAATAAATTATTATTTCAAGTATTATTTTTGGCCGGGAAATTGGGGGTGTTACACCAGCAGACACCTCAATTGACCCAAGTCAGAAATTGGGAGATATCAAGGAGGGAAATCCAGTTGATATTCACCAATATCAAAGATTGGTAGGAAAATTAATATATCTGGCACACACAAGACCAACTATTGCATTTGCAGTAAGCATGGTGAGTCAGTTTATGCATCATCCTCTCCAAGAACATCTTGATGCTACTTACAGGATTCTAAGATACCTGAAGAGCTGTCCAGGGAAAGGATTGTTTTTCAAAAAGGGAAACAATAGGACAATTGAAGCTTTTACTGATGCAGATTATGCTGGCTCAATATCTGATAGGAGATCTACTTCTGGATACTGCACCTATGTATGGGGAAATCTAGTAACCTGGAGAAGTAAGAAACAAAATGTGGTTGCTAGAAGTAGTGCAGAATCAGAATTCAGAGCTATGACTAATGGAATATGTGAGTTACTCTGGATCAAACGAGTAATCACAGAACTAAAGATGGAGATTGAGCTGCCTATGAAGTTATATTGTGATAATAAAGCTGCTATAAGCATTGCTCATAACCCTGTGCTACATGATAGAACTAAGCATATTGAAGTGGATAGACATTTCATTAAGGAGAAGATTGAAGCTGGAATCATTTGCACACCATTTGTATCTATTAAAGATCAAACAACTGTTTTCTTCACCAAAGGGTTATTTAGACCTATATTTGAGCTACTTATAAGCAAGTTGGGAATGTATGATATATATTCACCAACTTGAGGGGGAGTGTAGAAAAATGTTACATTATTAGAAAAATGTTACATTATTTTTCCTGATTAGATTGATGTACATAAGTGAGTCAGATAGACTTAGTTAATTGTAGATAAGCTCATAGTTATCTAGATCCTAATTTTTAGGATCTGTACAAGCTTGTAGTTATCTGTACAAACTGTATTTATACTCTGGCCGAATGGCTCATTCAATCAAGGAAGTTTTATTCCTAAAACTTACACCGGGCTTGGGCCAAAATCCGGGCCCCCATTCCCCGAAATCATCATTACAAACTGTCGGTTTGATCAACCGGTGACGCCTGCCCGCCGGGAGCCAATGAGCACACGCCACGTGGACTCCACCCCCCAACGGTCATATTATAACGGCCACATTCTGGGAACCCGTGGGTACCCCCTCGGTAGAACGCTACTTCATCCAACAATGAGCCAGCCCTCGGGCAATCATATTCATATCCCTTCATCAAATAAAAGCCCTCGGCCACACAATGGGAGAACCACTCAGGAACCCTTAGTCCTCAACCTGTTGAGAACCAGGGAACCCTCCGAGGGTCACCCCCTCAATACGATTACGGGATCCCTCGGGGGCCCTAATTCCCCAACTTATCAAGAGCTAGGGAACCCCCTCGTCAACACAGGAACCGTCACCTACATTCATCATGTCCTCAATCCCCTAGACTGAGGGACTCCCCTTCGGCATCTCCTGGGATATCAACAAAGCGCCTTCGGCGAATCAACATACGCGCCCTCAGACAAGGGTAGCCTTCAACGACAACGCTGTCACCCATTTCAGACCAAGGCTTCACCTTCTCGATTCATCATTGGGGGAATTCGGTGCACTCTTTTTCCCTCGTTAGAATTTTTTCCCACATGGTTTTTTCTAATGAGGTTTTTAACGAGGCACCCCCCCAAAATGAAACGAAAACTGCCAACCTTCGGCCCCATGCAACAGCAGGAACTACTCTACTCCTTTTCACCACTTTACAAGTGCCTCAAGGAGTGGGGGACTGGAAGACCCCTTCAGGAAAATCTCAAAAAAGCAAATTATCAAAAATCTCCCCAAAACAGCAACCCAATCCCTCAAATCCCAGAATATGGGGGATTGAGGGACTGCCTTCGGCAAAACGTGCAAACAACAACTCCTCACAAACTCCACAAATTATAGAGCAAAACGCCAGCATCAGAGGACAAACGCATTTTACTCCTTTTTCCTCAAGTACCTTTCGGCAAAAGGAGTGAGGGACTCCTGATGAAGTATATGGCCCAAGAACCTCCGGTCCATAGACTCCCACTATTCTAATACAGACCCAACGAGCCCAGGAAGCACAGCAGGCCCAAGTCACTGCGCCCCAAGAGACAGGAGGCCCACGCTGCAGCCTTCGGTCCCCTGGCCGAAGGCCCCAAAATCTCACAGAACAACTGTTTTGGGCTTACAAAGCTGCTGGGAGAAAATGGTGAAAACGGTAGCCCTCGACACCTAGAGCCCTCGGCCTAGAGGCCCCCGGGATGAAGAACCTTCGGCTAATCATCTACGGCCGAAGTCATCTCCTCGACAGAATCTCCCACCCACATGCGCTGGATCGACGTACCGAGTATAAACGCCACATCCAACCACCGCATTTAATGCGGCCACATGCGAGTGCCAGTGCCACCCCGTTGATGTGACCCCTCGACCACCAGAATGATGACACGTGTCCCTATCCAGCATTTATTGCTACTATAAATAGCACCCCTTTCCCCATTTGTAAACCACGCTGAATACGCTCATTATCAATATACACTCTCTCTCTACTTTTGCTCTGACTTCTTTCTAGTTACTCCCCGCAGTAACCCCTCGGATAGATACCCCGAGTACACTTATCCATCAAATGTCTTCCCAATTGAATTATTAGGTGAAATTTTATATGAGTAAACTAGATTTAAGGAATAAGATTCTCAAAACATTTTATCAAAAAATTCGAAAACCTATTTAAAGTAAGCCGAGCTTATTTGCCCTTTTGCTAAGAGTAAAAACCTAACAGTTTTTTATAACCGAACAAGCCCCCTACCACAGATTCTCGGAATCAGCCATGGAAAACATCTGTTTCCTGTTCGTCTACTTTGGTTGAGCCTCAAGCGCCCGCTGTTGTTGCAAGTGCTGGACAATTCTTTGCTTCACAATCTTCTCTGTTGCATAGACCCCTCTGACGGCTCAGGCATCAGCAGACCCCAACCTGCAAAACCCAAGTATCAAACCCCCTGTACATTTCCATATCTTCATGGCTCAGTGAAGCTTCGCATAAACGGATATGGCTTCAACACTCCCTACGCATTTGAAATTGAGACCACCCTTCCATCCATTTAATATCTTGGGAACCCATAATAACGTTGTTAGAGTTAAATCGAGAAACTGCACCCTTCATACCCGTCTCAAAGTTCACTTCTCTCGAAACCGGAGGTTTAGCTCTCGGCATTCATTGCTCTCAAGGGCCAGCAGTGATGGAGAGAGTGATACCCCTACGACCACCACTCGGGAGTCATCATCTCCTGTAAGTCCCTCTTACCAAGAACTAATATGTATGGTCTCGAATTACTACTTTCTGTAGTGTTGGGAATTTGGATTTATGTTTTATGTTGTGCCGAAGTGTGTGTCTTTTATTTCCCCAACTATAATTTTGATTACGGGTCTTTGCACTTCGGCAAAGCTATGGTCCTCAAAATGGATTAGTTCCATTCTACAAGGTCTATGCACTTTTATGCTCTTATTTAAAGAACACAAGCCTATGGATTTCTGTTTGTCTTATCGTAAAAAGGATAAGTAGTTGATGTAGTGCATTCCTCATTCATTTCCAGGCAACAGGAGATAGCCCGCCCAACATTGGAGATGGTTATGTTTCATTGTTCATCCGGATGTTGGGTTTGGACAATGAGCCTCTTGATAGAGAGAGTGCTATAGTTGCCTTATGGAAGTATTCGCTTGGAGGAAAGAAGTGTGTGGATGCCATAATGCAGTTTCCAGGTTCTTTTAATCTCACAGTGAATCTTCTCAGGTCGGAATCTGATTGTGCATGTGAAGCAGCGGCTGGTTTATTGAGGATGGTCTCCTCAATTAACGTATACAGGGATTTTGTGGCAGAAAGTGGCGCAATAGAGGAGATAACCGGCCTATTGGGGCGATCTTCAGTATCTCCAGATGTACATATAAGTCTTCCCTGTGTTTCTGCTCTCTGTACTTCTTTTGTGACATAAACACATGTTGGGGTGTAACATTGCATTACTATGTACAGGTGAAGGAGCAAAGCATTTGTGCGTTGTGGAATTTTACTGTGGATGAGAAATGCAGGATAAAAATTGCTAATTCTGATCTGCTTCATATATTAATAACGTTACTGGAGGATGACGATATGAGGGTGAAGGAGGCGGCTGGAGGGGTTTTGGCAAATTTGACGCTAACCAGTTCTAATCACAAAATTATGGTCGAAGCTGGAGTCATCCCAAAACTGGTGAGTCTCACTTAAATTTTCATGGTCTGTAAAAAATCTATCTCAGTTAGTTTAACATTGAAAATGTCAAATGCCATAAAATGTATCCCCAATTCCAGAGGAATTCAGTGAACAGGTTTTTTAGATCTCACTATGCAAAAAGAGATGCACACCTGGTAAAAGAAGAGTAAAATGGTGTGATTAGATCTTGCTTTCACACTTTGATGGGTTGATCTAGATAAGTAAATGATTTTGATCACAAGGGATATATAGACCATCACACGGCCAAATACATTAGTGAAGGTCATAACATTAACTCTCCTCGTTTTGTAAACATTCTCAAATTCAACGCTATCAATGTTTCTTACATCACTCTTTAGAAGTGACCTTCCCCGTGTACTGAGGCCACGCCATATGCCCTCCTCTTCAAAATTTTACATCAGTTAATTTTAATTATATATATATATATATATATATATATATAGGTTTTGGTTCAAATAAGAACATGATCTTAGGAGAAAAATGAGAATGAATTTGGACCGTTAGATTTGCTTTAAGTGAAATTCAATGTGCAATAGATGAAACTGTAATGTTCATTAGGTGAAATTGAATTGTGCAGCACAAATGATACGATACAGTGACATTATGTGAAGTTGAATTGTGCATTATGTGAAGTTGAATTGTGCACTAGGTGAAACTGAAATGTGCTAAAATAAAAGGTACGATGTGATGTTATTTTTGTAACTTTTATTTCTCACATTTCAGTTTCACCTAATGCACACTTGAGTTTAAATTTTTATTCTGCACATTTCAATATCATCTGATGCACATTTCAGTTTCACTAAATGCACAATCCAGATCCACATAATACAATCCAACGGTCCAGATTCATTCTCATTTCTCTCCTGGGAGTCCGTTCTTACCGGAACCACTCCCTATATATATATATATAGGTTTTGGTTCAAATAAGAACATGATCTTATTGAAGAAGACAGTAACAATGGCCGAAGCCCCCCAAAGAAAGAGATAGAACTCTAACTTCCCAGTCCCAAGACAATAGTCAAAAAACAGCCTGCCCTCTCCTTTCCATCATTTGCAATGGAGCCAAAGATTCATTATTTTTTTGGCTTGAGATTATGATGGAATAAAGCAAAATGGCTCACTAAACTGTCTGCGCTTCTTTGTTATGAAGCAACAGTCAGTCCATGCAATTTTGGACGGGATTTTCACTATGGATCATTCGGAAACAGTCTCTTTGTGCTTTAGTACAGGGGTAAGACTACGTACATCCGACCCCCCCTTACCCCACTGTAGGTGAGAGCCTTTGCGGCACTGGGGTAAATGAAAATGAAAAATGAGGTCGATCCCTATCAATACTCCCTCCCTAAACATCCACCTTGCCCTCAAGGTGGCTGATAGGAAACAGCCGCAACTTTCAGCTTCATCTTCATTCTTATGCCCTTTCCTTCCCAATATCTCACTGAATCCTGGATTTGTAGCTTCAGTACTTGAAACTTCATTTTCCTGTTCTTCACTGTCAGTAGGAGCAGAAGCATAATCCTGGTGGCAGAATACTCCCTGTGCTTACTTATGAATTCTTCAAATAAATCATTAACCCATTGAAGAAGCACAACATCACTTATTGACTCTCCGTCTTGTTTTGGACTTGATGCTCCCATTGGTTTTGCAAGAACCAAGTAAGTAAACGACTTTATCAAATCCAGATATTCTGAGGAGCAATCAGCCAGAGCCCAAGGAGACAAAGGAGACTTAGTTGATTCATCATAAGATCTTCCTGTAGGTTTGTTGAGAATCATATTGTACTCACAGTTTATAGCCCTATAAAACCGGCAGTCGAAACCTTCCCCGTATCTCCCTGGTTGTTTATCAATTCTCAGAGATTTTTCCTCCTCAATTTCCTTGCGTCGATCATCACACTTTGATCTGTTTCTTTCCAGATCAACTTCTTCCCCTAACTTGGTCAGTGCCATTGAAACTCTTGAGATGCACTGATCACTGTCCACTAGCACATAGCAGTACCCTCTCACGTGGTATACCCTCTCAACATGCCACCCTCCTGAATTATTAGATGTATCATTTCCTTTACGAGAACAGGACCTAGAGCTCAGGCCAGAAGAAAAAACATTTGGATTCAGTCTCAAGACAGTATGAGTAATTTTTTTTTATCAAGTCGTCCTTAAAAAGTGTAGTTGACCTCAGTAGGTCCTGATAGATGATCAATGAATAATAATTCATGTTCTCAACACCAGATTCTAACACCCAGATGTTTGGATGAACCTCAATAACACTCTCTCTCCCAACAGTCAACATTTTTAAAGAACTAAAATCATTCAATCCTTGTTGCTGCTGCTGGAAGATGGAAGAATCAAGACAAGAGCTGACAAAGTCCCTGTAAATGCCACTTACGAGTACCAGGGACCTAGCAGATGAGCTTCTAGCCACATAATAAGAATTTGTCACAGCAGGATCATCAAACCGATAGTCCAAGCTTACATCTCCTTCTTGAAGTGATATACAAACTGATGACATTATCCTTACATGTTCACCACTTATCAAGGCCACTTGGAAGATAGCAGGGTTGATTTCATGATCAGACATCTGGAATTTGTTAGCGTAACCCTCAGTAATATTACCAACCTTTTTCTTCCAATGTCCGGTAATTCCTACTCTCAATCTATCTTGAATGTTCTTCATAGAGGTAACACAATCAATTAGGATACCATCAATCTGGTTCAGCCCTTTCATTGGAACTCCCAATCCAAGTTCAGGAACGAGATCAATCAAGGGTTTCAAATTTAATACATTAGCATAGCTCATATCATCATAAGTAAGTATACATGTTTTAAGTATTTCTGAACCTACCATTTTGTCTGATAAAATTTCCGTAGGTTGATTAACCTCCTCTTCAATGTCTGTTTCCTTAACTGAAGGTATAAGCGATGATGAGATGTGAGATCCTGCGAGTGAAGAAACCTGCATAGTAGGAACTTCTGCTCGTGTGGAAGCCAAAAGACCAGAAGAATTTGGCAACTGCAATGAACCTTGGCTTTTCAAATTTATGCAGCGACGCACAGTCTTCGACCGTCCTTGTCTACGACATTTTTTTCGCAGTTTGGGCTTCCCCTTCTCCAGGTTTGAGGGGTTCTCCCTCTCCAGTTTTGAGCGTTTCTCTTTCTTTGGTTTTGAGCTCGTCTCCTTCTCCACTTTTCCGTGCTCAATCTTTTCCGTGATTTTCACCACTTTTTCGCGCAAAACCTTTCGCGACTGCGAACCAGAAGGAACAGTTCGTGACTCCTTCTGCGAACTGGTGAGCGACTGCGACGAATGATTTCTAGGGCTCCCCGCTCAACGTGCGATGTTACCACTCTCTCCAGGATTAGAATTACTTGGATGCCCTTGGTGCGAATTTCGATGCGACTTATGCGAAGTGTGCGGCTTGCTCTTTGATCGTTTCTGGAGTCTCTTCTCCAAGATTGCGAGGCTTGCCTTTTTCGCAGCCATTGACCCCGTTATTTTTGCCGAAGTGTGTTGGTGATTGACTTCCCATTCGTTCTTTCTTTCTTCCATTTCTGCATGCCAGCGATCAACGTGCTCTGATACCACTGATAGAACAAGCTCCAGGTATACAGAAAATTTACAAGAAATATCAAGAACAAGAACTGCAAACTTTATTGAAGAAGACAGTAACAATGGCCGAAGCCCCCAAATGGCCGAAGCCCCCAAAAGAAAGAGATAGAACTCTAACTTCCCAGTCCCAAGACAATAGTCAAAAAACAGCCTGCCCTCTCCTTCCCATATTATTCTATTTATAGCCTTCCAGTACAACCTACTCTAGTTATTAGTTAATAACAGAAATATAACTAACAACCGACTCTTCTATTTATTAGTCTCATAGGTCGATCTCTATCAATATAGGCTTCATGTAAGGTAGGCCTAAAAGTTACTCCCTTCGTTCCTATTTTATCTTCCAAATAGGTTTGGCACACAATTTAAGATAGTGGGTATTGTGTGGTGGAGAGTTGTGCAGAGGAGAGAGAAATGTGTAAGAAATGTTGTGGACCACAAATTCTTTACTAAAAAGGGAAAGTGGAAGTTTTAATTGGAACGGACGAAAAAGGAAAGTTGGAAGTTTTAATAGGAACGGAGGGAGTACAATTTTAGGCCTCTTTCATTTGAGGTGCTTTCGGTTCGATTTTTTTGATGAAATTTTGTGAGCTTGTTCTCCATGAAGTGTACATCACGTCTACCAAATTTCAGTTTAAAATTCAATTTGGAAGTCGGTTAAATAAATTTTTGAAAATTTTGCAGTTTTTATATGTATGAAATACATTTTTTTTCAATTATTTTTTGCACGGTTAATATTGTGACTTATGAGTTCATAAACCGCACACATTTTTTACCTAGTATTGTTTGTCAATTTTATTCATTGGATTTTTTTTGGTTGAAACTTCATAAAGCTAGTTCGATTTTGTGAAACATGAGCCCTTCTCTGATACTATACACTTTCATTTACTATATGCAACATGCAGGCCACACTTTTAAAAACAGGAGTGGAGGGATCTAAGGTGGCTAGGAAACAAGCAAGAATTGCATTGTTGGAACTTGCTAAAGATGAGTACAATAAAATTCTTGTAATGGAGCAGGGTCTACTTATGGTCCCTTTGGTTGGTGCTGCTGCTTACAAGTCTTTTAAACCCACTTTGTATTCATGGCCATCTTTTCCTGATGGTACCCAAATTGAGAAGAGATCAAACAGCACTTCAAAATATGGTGCTTCAGAACTGCTTCTTGGACTGCATGTCCAAGATGACAATGCAAACATTGACGAAGCAATGACAAATGCAATGGTTGGACAGGCTAGACAACAATTTCTTGCTCGTATAGGGGCCATAGAGGTTGAAGATAACAAGTCCAATGATGAAGTGCTATCATGTCGGTCCACTCTCTTGCCTTGGGTTGATGGTGTAGCACGACTGGTTCTGATTCTTGGTCTTGAAGATGAATCAGCTGTTGCAAGAGCTGCAGAGGCCATTGCTGATGCATCCATCAGCGAAGATATGCGTGTATCCTTTAAAGTAGCTGGTGCTATTAATCAACTAATTGAGCTGATCAATCATCCTAGTGACACCATAAGATGTGCTTCTGTTCGGGCTCTGGAAAGATTATCTGTCAGGTGTTCCTTAACTAACTTAATTGTACATATATGATTGTTGCATGTATGAGATATTCTAGGCCCACATCACTTGAGATACTATGCTTCATGTTGATGTTTTATAATCTTCCATGTTCCTTTTTTTTAGAAAATGAAATTTCCTTTATCGTACCGATTCGGGTGGGGAGCATATGTCTCATGAATTTCAAGCATTTCTTGAATCTAAGGAAGGATATAAGATCTCACCGATCATGTCCTTATATTCCTAGCAAAATAGCATTGCAGAATGCAAAAACCACCATCTTCTTGATACTGTTCGGACCTTACTTTCAGAATCTAAGTTCTTACACGATTTTCAGTTGAGGCTGTGTACAGCAGTTTACCTAATAAACCCACTCCCATTATAAGTTTTGGAGTTTGAATCATCTTATATCCGATTATCCGGCCCCAGAAACGTCATTCAGTGTACACTTATGATAGATCACTGGAATCTGCAAAGCAACCAATAAAAGAAGCACAGAGAAATGGAAGGAATAGATCGTAATGGCTTTATTCCTCCAACTGAACAGATCACGGGGATACAGTGCTCAGGGGCTTATTCGAGATGCCCAACAGAAAATACAGCCTACTCAGAAATAGAAACTAGGTTACTATTTATAGTCACGTGTCCACGCAGGGACAAAATAGCATAACTAAATAATTGGCTAATTAAAAGCTACCCTCCCCTTCCTCCGTGTGTAAATTTTATCATAATATTTAACAGGTGGCTGAGTTGAATGTCTATCAATACCCCCCCCCCCCCTTTGAAATTCACCTTGTCCCCAAGGTGAAAATCTGGGAAGAGTTCTTGTATCACCTGCATTGGTTCCCAAGAGTCCTTGAAACTGGGGAGGCCCTTCCAGTGTATCAAAAGCTCTGCTACTCCCTCTGAATTCACTCTGGTATCCACAACTTCCTCAGGAGCAACCTGCAGCTCCATTTCTTCAGTCAAGCACTTAGGAAGAGGCTGAAAAGAAGTGTTAGGAGCTAGCACTTTCTTGAGTAGAGAAACATGAAAGACTGAGTGAATTCTACTGTCACTTGGCAGCTTGAGTTTATAGGCTACAGATCCTACCCTCTCCAGGATCTCAAAAGGCCCCTAGAATCTGGGGCTTAGCTTTTGGTTTCTCCTTTTTGCCAGGCTTTGCAGTTTATAAGGTTGTATCTTTAAGTACACCAAGTCTCCTACCTCCATCTGTACTTCCCTTCTGTGCTTATTTGCTTGTTGTTGCATCAAATTCTGGGCTGCAGCTAAGTTCCCTTTCAGCTCCTCCAACATGGCATTTCTTTGGGCTGTCAGTTGAGACACTTCTTCTACAGCAGTTAGGGTTACATCACCCCTAATAACTGCAGGGGGTTCTTGTCCAAAAAGAGCCTTGTAAGGTGTTAGTTTCAGGGAAGAATGATAATTCGTATTGTACCAGAATTCAGCCCAGTGTAGCCATTGCTTCCATTGCCTAGGTTTCCTCCCTGTAAGACACCTTAAATAGGTTTCTAGGCATCGGTTCACCACCTCCGTTTGCCCATCTGTTTGGGGATGGTAGGCTGTACTAAATCTGAGTTGAGTGCCTGCCAGCCTGAACAGTTCTGACCAGAAAGAACTCATGAATATGCTGTCCCGATCACTTACAATGGTCTTTGGGAAACCGTGTAGTCTCACCACTTCTTTTGTGAATAATTCAGCTACTCCCTTAGCGTCAAAAGGGTGAGATAGGGCTATGAAATGGGCATATTTTGTTAGCCTGTCAACAACAACCAATATAGTATCACAACCCTGGGTATGGGTATGGGTAAGGGTTGCATAATCTGTGACAGATTGTGAATCTTGCTTAAGATTCGTTGTTTTGAGCCATAAGTCATAGACAAAAGCGCCATCTTTAGCAACAGAGTAGGTCTGCTGTATGAAATCCCAGATTTCTTTAGCCGAGTCCATGTATAAACATGTACTGCTAATGTTGGGATCCATAGAGTCCCATAACCAGACCCGTATGTTGGCATTAGTTTTCTCCCAAATAGCAGCATCAATCTTTCCTTCTTCTGGGGTAGAGACAGTGAGATAATCTTCAAGATCTTTGCCACGTAGAAGAGTGTAAACCAGCTTTGACCACCCAAGATAGTTCCTGCCATTGAGACGGTAAGATGGCGGGATAGAAGGGAGATCAAATTTCTGGTTTCGAAGAGCAAACGCGGCTGCAGTAACAGCTGAAACAATGGTTGAGTGATCAAGGTTACTCGAGGCTGATTCGGCTTCTTTAGACATGATAAAACCCTTGATGAAGAGACTCCACCGGGAGTTAAAGAGAGAGAAGGGTAGAGACACCCAAAAAATGACCGTTGGAGAGGTGATAGACTGACTCAAAAAAGGCTTAGACGAAACCTGGCTCTGATACCATGAAGTTTTCTGAATATTATTTCCTTGAATTCATTTACAAGAAGTACATAAGCTATTTATACAGATAGGCATCCTGAGAGAGTCTATTCAGCACCCTAGGTGACTGTCTAAATACTAAACATAAATGATTGAGAACTGAAAAGACAGCAGCTATTAAATACAACCTGAAGCACTAAAGATACATAATTACAGTAATAATAAGGAAAATAAATCCTAGATTAATGATGTCTCTTCGTTTTATCAACATAAGATACCCATCCCCAGAATCCTGTATGATGCGTGCCATGGTCTGCAAAGAGATTTCAATAGAGTTTAGTTGGGGTTCTCCCTGTATGATCTGATTTGTCCCCGACTGCTGCCACTGTATTCTTTGTTTCCGAAAGTTCACTTCTACATCCCCCAATGTGGTTAACCATTCCATTCCAAGGACTAAGTCAGTTCCCCCAAGTTCTAGTATATAGAAAGTCTGTTGGATAATAGTGCCTTGTACTCTGAGAACCAGATCCTCACATCTGCCATTATTGGTTACCTTATCACCATTCCCTATCTGCACCTTGTAACCCGAAATAGTTTGATAAGGTATTCCCCATTGATCCACCAATTTTTGTGATATGAAGTTGTGGGTGGCCCCACTATCAATCAACACTTCCACCTGTTTCTCACCTTGGACCCCTTTTAGTATGCCCTGCACCTTGAAAGCCCTCAGTGAGGGGATCCCTTCCTTACTTATCACAGACAGTTGCATGGATTTAGACTCCATGTGAGCCACTTCCTCTTCTTCAGCTTCAGGTTCCAGCACCTATAATTCCTCTTCCTCTTCAGAATCTTCCACCAGAATTAATTTATAATTTTTCATCTTGCAGGTGTGTTCTTTGCTCCATTTGTCCCCACATTTAAAACACAGTCCTCTTCTACTCCTTTCTTGGTATTCCTCCTGAGACAGTTGAGGTGCTACCCTTCTTATCCCTGAGGGATTTATTTCCGTCACCTTCGCCCCCATGTGATTGACCCAAGTTGGGTTCATCTTCCACCTACAAAACGACCACCTAGTCTGCTCGTTGTGTATTTCTAGGATACACTCATACACCATTAGTTAAAAGGGATTCATGTGTTTTGATCCGAAAGTAAACAAATTGTGAGTCTCTAGGAATGCTATATTTTTTGAAAACCAGTATTTCTGTTATATTTGTGTTCCCAATAACCCATCTTCTGTCATACGTAGTATTACCTAAATTTGAAAGTGTCTCTAGTCCTCATACTCTTAGTTTAAAAAGGCGCAAGACGCACCTAGGCGATGGGCATGTCGCATCCGAAAGACCCAGGCGCAGCAGATTCTAAAAGGCGCGCCCCATACCTCGCCTTTTGCCGCTTTTTGCGCATCTGAGAGGCGTTCGCCTCTGGTGCCTTTGAGAAGATGTTTGCTTATCTTTGCTTTTTTGGCGATTCACATACCTAGTTCGAGCTTGGCGATTCACGTATCTAGTTCCAAAGGTCCGCAGGTATTATATATTGATGGGGTGAGGTTCCCTGACTCCATCAGAGTCAAGTTTTCTCTAATATTCTGCCTCTACTATGCTTCCATCACCTCCTATCCTCTTTCTTCCGCTCCTATCTAACGTCGCTGATGGAGTATATGTGCCTGGACCCCAGGGCCCACATACTCAGGAGAACAGAAGGTACCACGACCGCCTGGTGGGACCCTCGTCGGCCAGATGACCCTCATCGGCCAAGAAGAAGTCTACTCAGAAGGTAATCTAGAAGCCAGGAAGAGCCGGTGACCTCGTCGTCCGGGTCTTCGTCGGCCGCGCCCTCGTCGGCCGTGCCCTCATCGGCCACAGATGGCCTCCAGAATAGGACTTTATGCTTAATCTTTTCTATGTACTTTGTATGCGGCCCATTAGTGGTCTTATTGTAAATGGGCCTCCCAAGCCCAAGACTTGGGAGCCTAGCCCTAATTTTTCCTAAAAATACTCCCTCTGGGAGTAGTTGTAGGGGTTCACAATTCATTAATACAAAGCAAATATACTACTTCTCTCTCTGACTCTCACTTCTCTCTAGACATAGTCTATCATTTGGTGCTCTCGTTGAGAGCTAGAACAATCAAGTCAGTCTCCTTCGTCGCTACCAAGCACAACTCCCTCGGCAAGGCTATCCCTGAGACCCAAGAGCATCAGGAACACGAGGAGGACGCAACGGCCGACAAGACCGCCGAGGGAGATGTCTTCCAGGAAGCCATTGACCTTGCGGGAGACCTACGCAACAAGCTTAACGGCGGCGCTCCGGATGCCCGCCTCGGCCTGGAGAAAAAGCGCGCGGAAAAGGGGGACGCCTCGGCGCAACCGGCCTCACCTGCGGTTGACCCTCAGCTTCAGACCGCACTCTCGGCCATCATCACCAGTCTGGCCCAGAATCCCACCGTCCTCAGCGCACTCATGCCAAGGACAGGGGAGAACACGACGCCACCTCCTCAACCCCAGCCGTTGGACGTTAGGCTAGACAACGATGAGGGGGTGGTGCCCCAGGACACGACGTCGTCCCATTCCCACCCTGCTTCTCCTCTCCGAGCTGGACCGGCCCCAGTGCGTGGAAA